GAACAGTTTGGTATGGTCCTCGAGAGCTTTGTCTCCCTGCTCCAGCAGGAGGAGGAGGAATTTGGGGCGAGTGAAGGGATCCATGGGACACAACGGAAAGTAAAAACACTGAGTGAAAAATTAAAACAAAACGGAGGGGAAACACGGAGGTAACTGTTCTTTGGTCTGAGATTCTGTCACGGTTCGCCTATGGCACGGAGTGAGGAACGAGGAGACAAGGCATTAAACTCACGAAAGTCTTTTAATTCAAATATCCAAGGGAATACTCGGGGCAGACAGGAACACAGGAAACACAGGGTTTGACGTTCAATCTCAGACAAAGACAGACAGCACAGACTGGGGCTAATAAACACTGGGCAATTAGGGGAACACAGGTGTATGGAATGACTAATTAACTGAGACACGGCACACCTGGGGAGGGAAAACACAACACAATGAGTCCAGGGGCGTGACAGTTTTATTGAACAGGTTCTTTTAAAGACTCACAAGTTATCAGTCATCAGTCTGACAAATCCTTTACTGAATGAATTTCTGACTGAATCAAAATGAAGCAAGAATGTTTTGTGTTCTTAATGTTTGTGAAACTTAATTCAGTACCATTACTAACTGGTTGTTCATATGAAAATGTGTAAATGGAAATACATTTACAGTTTTTTTTTGAGTGATGATGGCTTTATGGTCTGATACAGGACTATGTCGCTGCTCCACTGAGCAGCTCTGATGACCATCATTGTTTTGACCTTGCTGTTATTACATGTGACGCAGGGTGCTATAACACACTCCTGATGAGTGAAATACATCTCACTGAGAGCAAGGTCTCAGTACCACCACAGAGTGACTCTATGGGCTGGACGTTCTGCTCTAACAGTACAGTATGTGAAGAAACACGTCAACATCATTTTCTTAAAGCTTCAGTCTCTAAATATTAATGACTACAAAACAAACACGTCTCTTTATGCACATTTTTAATGTGAAATGTAGATCAAGCTCTACATTGGGCAGAATTAAGAAGAGATTTCTCATATCATTACATGTCTCTTCTCTTACAATGATAGAAAGAACTTGATTTTTGAATAGAAAGAATTTGATTATACATCTGCATTAGTTATTAGTTTGTTGCCACAATTCTAGAGTGTTATTTCTGGTTTCTAGTGTTGCTATGTGGTTGCTAAAGTGCTCTGGAAGTAATAATCACTCAGAACACTTTAGCAACCGCATAACAACACCCTAGAAACCACACATAACACCCTAGAATTGTGGCACCAAACCAACAATCACTCAGAATACCTTAGCAACCACACAGCAACACCCTAGAGACCATTAATAATACCCTACAATAGTGACCTGTGATTGTTGGTGTGTTGCTATATGATTGTTAAGGTGTTGCTATGCGGTTGCTAAGGTGTTCTGAATGATTGTTGGTGTGTTGCCACTATTGTAGTGTGTTATTTCTGGTTTCTAAGGTGTTGCTATGCAGTTGCTAAGGTGTTCTGAGTGATTGTTGGTGTGTTGCGACTATTGTACTGTAGTTTGTTGTTTGTGGTTTCTATGGTGCTGCTATGCGGTTGCTAAGGTGTTCTGAGTGATTGTTGGTGGGATGCCACTATTGTTAGGTGTTGTTAGTGGTTTCTAGGGTGTTGCTATGCGGTTGCTAAGGTGTTCTGAGTGATAATTAAATTGTTGCCACTATTGTAGGGTGTTATTTGTGGTTTCTAGGGTGTTGCTATGTTGTTGCTAAGGTGTTCTGATTGCCACTATTGTAGGGTGTTATTTGTGGTTTCTAGGGTGTTGCTATGTGGTTGCTAAGGTGTTCTGAGTGGTTATTCATTTGTTGCCACTATTGTAGGGTGTTATTTGTGGTTTCTAGGGTGTTGCTGTGTTGTTGCTAAGGTGTTCTGAGTGGTTATTAATTTGTTGCCACTATTGTAGGGTGTTATCTGTGGTTTCTAGGGTGTTGCTATGTTGTTGCTAAGGTGTTCTGAATGACTGTTGGTGTATTGCCACATGATAAGTTGTTGTTTGTGGTTTCTAGGGTGTTGCTATGCGGTTGCTAAGGTGTTCTGAGTGATAATTAATTTGTTGCCACTATTGTAGGGTGTTATTTGTGGTTTCTAGGGTGTTGCTATGTGGTTGCTAAGGTGTTCTGAGTGGTTATTAATTTGTTGCCACTATTGTAGGGTGTTATTTGTGGTTTCTAGGGTGTTGCTGTGTTGTTGCTAAGATGTTCTGAGTGATTGTTGGTGTGTTGCCACACGATAAGTTGTTGTTTGTGGTTTCTAGGGTGTTGCTATGCGGTTGTTGAGATGTTCAGAGTGGTTGTTAGTTTGTTGCCAATGTAATAATGTAGGGTGTTATTTGTGGTTTCTAGTGTGTTGCATCATCGTCTGAGAAATTAACTCGCTAGTCAAGACTTACGCAAAACCTTAGTTACTTTGTCACACGTCTGTTCGAACCACAATAGATCTGTTGGTGGTGCAGGTGGTGGAGTAATAGCTTCCGCTTATCAATCAGTTTTGAGATTTTTGTCAGGTTTTAGGGTAATTAATGTCAGATTATTGCTGTAAATAATGAACACAATAACGGAAGACTGTGTCACAGTTTTTGTTCTCTTTTGTTTTGCTTTATTTACAGCAGCCACTCTTCAAAAACTGTACTTTCATTCTCTTGACAGATTAAAAGATGTAAAATGAGATTTGTATGAAACTCCATATGTCAAACTAATAAGAAACTATGCTTTATTCCACAGGTTTACCAATGTTACAAATGTTTGTTGGATGTATGGTTTTGGGAAACAGTGAATCATTAAACTACGTTTAGAAATGTTAAATGTTATGGTTTGTTTAAATGCTAATCCTATATACAGTATGAGCACTAGTAATAGTGATGCTTGCTTTGACAAACACCTACAATGAATGAGCATGCATGCATGATGGAAGCAGGATGGGGGAGAGATGATCAATTCTTAAGGAGTTTAAAAAGATGGTGTGGAAGACAAGTTTAAGCACAAAGCAACCACGCTTCATTTCTGCTCTTTCTTTAACTCTCCACCTTCCAAAATCCCTCTGAGATTCACTTAGCATTAGCAATGCCTCTGTCAGCAGCTCTAGTCTGAACAAACAGAGTCTAGGACCATGAAAGCTTTGCCCTAGATAAAATGCTCAGTAATTAATACCCATGCCATATCAATTATGAGTGTCTCCCTTAGAACTAAACGTCTAATGTTTGCTAATCCAGAGGTCGCAAGGATCCGTTCATATCATTAAGCAGAGGACAAAACAGGGAAGAGTGTGAATTAGTGGGAGATTTATGTGAGCAGGAAAATCTGAAGAAAATAAGAAAATAAAAGTAGCAAAAAAAAGAAAAGAATTTAGAAGATAATGGAAAAGGCAGATGTTAGCATTTTACAACATGCAAACTTGCCTCATTTGAGCAGCTGACAAACCCTCTGTCGATTACCATTAACCCCTCATTTTCTCAGAATGGTTTAGTCTGTCCTTGGCCCAAATATATAGGAAGGATTGGTCAATGTTAAAGGCTTGGGGGTATGGTGACGTACATACGTATATATAGGCAATCTTACAGGGCCTAATTTCTAATTCAGGATTCACAAAATGTCTGGATTGCAACGAGAATCTCTACAGATTAAAATAATGTCCGTCTGCCAACTTAAAGGGGTCCTATTGTGCCTTTTTATGAAGTCTTGATTTGGTTTTTGGGGTGTACTAGAAAAGGTTTTCATTCTTGATTGTTCCAAAAACGCATTACTTTTCACATATTTTACATTATTGCAGCACCTCTTTTCCCAGTCTGTTTCAAACGACCTGGGGTGCGTGCGTTTCCCAAAAGCATTGTTAGCTAAATATGTTCACAAATTCCACTGGACTCTCTTGGTAACGACGGA